GACCCTCGATTAACCGACTTTCGGATTAACCTTCAATCCCGAACCCCTAATATATATATATATATATATATATATATTTTTTTTATTTATTTATTATTTTTTTTACAGGGATTAGCCCATCCGGGCACAGGTCACTGACCCACATCGGGGCCTGGGGGGCGATAATGTAATAATATTAATAATAATAATAATAATAATAATAATAATAATAATAATAATAATAATAAAGAACCATAAAGAAATGCAAAAATGAAAAAAATCGAGAGTAAGAAACAATTTACCTGTATGCAAGGTAGGTAGATAACAGGTAGCCTCACTCCCATAGGATCTACGCTTGTGAAAATAAAAATGAAATTTTTATTTACGTATTTTTGAAGCCTTATGATGGTATTAAAAGTTGTACAATAAATGTATGGAATGAATTTTTTGCTTTATTTTAATTGAAGCCACTGATTAAATATATAAACTACATATAAATATCTTACTTGCGACCGCTGGATTTCATCCAACGTCGCTGATTGGCTAGCGATGACATCATTTATTAAGCTCTGCCCACTTAGTTACATCAAACAGTAAAGGGGATATTTACAAGTGAAAGTGGAGTGTTTTCTTTATAACAATGATTTATTGCGCTGTAGCCACCTGCAAATTCATTTCAGAAAAGAAGAAAAAGTTTGTATCTTTTTATTCATGTATGTATGTATTTATGTGTGTTTGTACTAAAAAGATGAAAAATGTAAACATTTATTATGTCTGTTAAATGTTTTAACATGAAAATGTATCCAGATCAATAGTAACTTGTAAAGTTATTGCGATACCTGTGTGAAATATATAAATGCATTCTTCATACATCGTGTATTATTTACATTTTTAAGGATATGATATGGTTTGTTATGGTAACTCTAACCATCACACTTCTTTTGTATATCAATTGAGTAAAATAAAACGTGTTCACTTATTTCTGCATTAATAGTTGATGCTTCAGTCAGAACCAGTTAATGAAGTCAAACAACAGTTACCATACTGCTGGGAATAGCCAGAATGCCAGTATAAAATTAAATGGGAGGAAATGTATTGAATATTTTACAATTCAACCGAATTTCTGTTTTATTGTAAATTTCGTCAAACATTTTCTTATATAATTATATGGCAATATACATATATTACATATTATTAAATATATATCTGATTAATAACATTTTATGCTTGTATATTTTAGCAGAAAGGATCTATACAGATAATAATACCACAATATTACAAACGCATGAAGTGGCAAAAGGGGCGTGGCTTAGCGATCTCGAGAGTAGAGTTGCCAATTAGTGAATTCCTATGGGCCTGTGTGAGGCTACCTGTTATTTACCTACCTTGCCTGTATGTATGTTGTGTTGTCAATAGTAAGAGAAACAATTGAGACCCTGCAATTGTGTGAAAATAAGGCAGAAAGTCAGATCAGCAACCTGGGACTTGGTCACAATTTTTGTGATGACATATGTTCTTTGACTTTTCCATTTTTTATTCATGGTTTCTGTGCTGGTTCATATTTATTTACTAAAGTGGTTAATGTTTTAAAGCATATTCTATTAAAATATGAATGGCAAATGAACAAAATGAATAGAGGGAATTAAATGAGTTAGGAAAGGTACTTTGAAAATGTATGTTTTATTTCCGTAGACTTTATGTATAACCTTTCGGATTATCCTTCGGCCCTTCCCCCATATGTGGTCGGTTAATCGAGGTTTTACTGTACTAAGTTATATTGGTACTCACCGATGGGCGGAGGTGGTAGAGCGAGTGTGTGGTGGGTAGTGAAGCTGAGGAGGTGGATGGTGGGAGCGGAGGAGAGGTGGGAGTGGAGGAGGGTGGTGAGTCACTGAGACTCTGCGGTTCCCTCCTCCTGCGCTGACTGGGGTTCCTCTGCCACTGTTTGCTCCTCCTCCATTGATGTTTGCTCCTCTTCCAATGTTGCTTGCTCCTCGGCTGCTGTGTGCTCCTCCTCGGCTTCTGTGTGCTCCTCCTCGGCTGCTGTGTGCTCCTCCTCAGCTGCCAGCTGTTGTGAAGAAGCTGCTTCTGCCATCCTGCGACGAACAAATGAATCCAGTGTTAACTGCTTGGTGCCACTCTTCTTCTCCTTATAGATCTCAGTGTAACAACCAAGACTGTCCTCAATGCTGCATTGAACCTTTGAGCTACGTTCTCTGTTTGAGTCGTCATCTATAAGGATTTGCATTGCTTGCTGGAACATTTTGAACGCTTCTGCCAACCTCATGGTAGTTAGCGTTCGTTGAGGTTCTTCTTCATCGTCTTTCTCTTCAATGTGACTGTGTTCTGTTAGTTGTTGCAAATCCTCATTGGTGAGCTCTTCTGTATGGGATGCCAGTAAGTCCTCAATATCCTCTGATTCCAGCTCATCAAAGCCTGCTTGTCTAGCCAAACTGAGGATATCTCTATTCCAGCTGAGACTAAGTCCGTGAATCCCGTAAAACTGTTCACGCACTCGGGCCACAATTTACCAACAAGGCAACTGAAACCTCTTATGCCTTGCCAATGTTGTCATTGCATGAAGAATGTTGAAGCCTCGCCAATATTCTCCGGATTGTAGGTTTGTTTTCTCTGTCTGTAGCCTGTGAGCAGCTAGATGTGATACGTAAATAATACCTTGAATGCCACGATGACGCCTTGGTCCATAGGCTGCATCAGTGCTGTCATGTTGGGAGGCAGGATTACAACTCTTTATCATGCAAGTTGTCGAGATTGGGAGGATGAGCTGGAGCATTGTCAAGGATCAGAAGAATTTTGAAGTCAAGGTTCTCCTTGACACAGTATTTCTTCATTGAAGGGACGATACACGTTTAACCTCTGGGTAAATATGGTGCCGGTTATCCAAGCCTTTTTGTTTACTTTGTAAATGACAGGAAGGTGATCCTTGGAGTAACCTTTCAGGGCCTCTGGGTTAGCAGCACGAGAAATCAGCAGAGGCTTCAGCTTGAAGTCGCCAGCGTTCGCGCCAAGCAGCAGCATCAAGCGGTCTTTTGCCACTTTCAAACCTGGTGCTCTTTTCTCCTCCTTGGAGATATAGGTCCTCTCAGGCATCCTCTTCCAAGAGACCAGTCTCATCCACATTGAAGACTTGCTTTGATAAGTAGCCTCCTTCCTGGATAATCCGTTTGAATTCTGGTGGGAATGTATCGGCAGCAAACATATCTGAACTGGCAGCTTCACCAGTCATCTTAATATAGGAAGTTATTGATGGCAAATCGTTGAAACCAGCCTCGGCTGGCTGTAAAGGTCTCTTCCTTCGAATATTCATCCTCTGTTTCCTTCGTGTAAACAAACGGATCTGACTTTATGCTGCATAACCAGCATCTTTTCCACCTTCTCTATCACAGTACTTCTAGTACGAGTTGTCTTAGTTGCACTCAGAGAAGAACCACTTTCAGCACTAATCTTAATCTTGTCAGCGTTGGTCTGGATAGTATGCACCATTGTGGGGGTTAGACCAAGCACAGTTTACCTATGTCCACAGCGCATTCCCCTTTTTCAAATCGGGTTAATACATCCATTTTCGTAGCAAGGGTAATGGTCTTACATTGCCTCTTCACTGCACTAGCATCAGTAGCACTTGATGGGTGTGACCATTTGAATGGTTATAGAACAGTTTAAAGAGCAAAAGCCTTCGAATGATGTGTATCAGAGACTGGCAGCGCCGCTTGGGGATGCTGTGACGTTCCACGAGTGAGGGCAGCACCGCCGAGAGAGTGTAATGACAAGAGTGGGTGATGCGCCGTAGAAAGTAGTCCGTGACGACACAAAATGACGTAGTATTGGATCCGTAGGATGTTAAATGAATTTTTGGTCTCTAAGGTTTAGCGACGTAGTACCGAAACAACGTTAAGCGGGACGACGTTATACAAGGATGAATTTCTTTGTTATATATAGCATATTTATCTTCGAAAAATTAAAAGGAATTACAAATTCATAAGGGTAGATTTTGTGTGTATTAATTTTGGGTCATATTCCCAAATTCGTTAGGGCAAATTTCGTAACGATTAAATGCGGGAGTTGCCACGTTTGTATATATTTTACCTGTACTGAATGTTATTTGAAAAAAAATATATATAAATCTTTCATGAAAAATCATTTGTTATGCAAAATTTGATGGCTAAGAAAGTATCCCTTAAAATGAGGGCTACCTTTATATGCTAGATTACATAAAGGTTTTGCTTAATTTCAGAGAGAAACAGTAACATTTAGGTGTGAATGAATGATCAGAAACCACCCTCCCCAGGACCCCAAAATACTTTATATTAGAATCATTTTTATTAAATACTGTATAGTCTGGATTTACGTGGTTTTTGTTTACGCGTTTGGTCATTTATCGGGTGCCTTGCCAGAATGAAATTTTTAATTAACTGTAAATTTCATCATTCTGGAAGGCGCGGGCAGGGTCTACGGTCGCCGTCATCAAAACATGCAGGTTCTTCACCGCCACCCACAACCCGCCCAAGTCAGCGATATTGATGATAGTGAGGATATGGACTTTGAGGGTTTGACAAAGAGTCTGCAAGCCTCTGTGGTGGATAGTGATACAATTGATACAAGTGATACAGGTGAGGGCCAATAATCTGCCCTCTGCCTCGGAACCAACCCTCATCCCCATGTGCCCAGCCATCTTTTCTACTAATGTAAGTGTTAAAAAACCTAATATTATTGATATTTCTTTTAATTATTAATTGTGTGTGCATACCATCATAAAATTAAGATGTTATATTTACTACAACGTACTATTGTGTCGGAAAAAGTGTAGTTTGGGAGTCGGCCCAGTCTCTATTTCAATTAATCCCATGTGTTCTGTTATTTCGTTTACGCGTTTCTCGTTTTACGCTGGCCTCCACGGGTTCAATTGACCGCGTAAATGCAGACTATACTGTACTGTTTTCAGCATCAAAATTAATCACTGCAGCAGTTTCACTAACACTTGCATTATTATTCATCTTGAACAGGTGTTGGCTGGTCCCTTGGAAAACGCTTGCAGTGTGAAGGGATACACTCTTGTGGTGACCTGCAGACAAGATCTCTCAGACAGTTGCAGGCAGCTTTTGGGGCAAGAACAGGACAGTCTCTTTATTACTACTGTCGAGGAATAGATGAACGACCAGTGAAGAGTGAACATGTGGTGAGTGTTGATGATGGTCCCTGTTTGTGGTGAGGTTGATGATGGTCCTTGCTTGTGGTGAGTGCTGATGATATCCCTTGCTTGTGGTGAGTGTTGATGATGGTCCCTGTTTGTGGTATGCTGATGATGGTCCTGCTTGTAAAAGGATGATGGTCCCTACTTGTGGTGAGTGCTGATGACATCCTGCTTGTGGTGAGTGTTGATGATGGTCCCTGTTTGTGTGTTGATGATGGTCCTACTGTGAAAGGATGATGGTCCCTGTTTGTGGTGAGTGCTGATGATGGTCCCTATGGTGGTGTGTGCTGATGATGGTCCCTGCTTGTGGTGAGCAAGGATGTAGATGGTCCCTTGCTTGTAGAGGCGATGATGGTCCCTGCTTGTGGTGAGTGTTGATGATAATTCCCTGTTTGTGTGCAAGTTGATGATGGTCCCTGTTTGTGTATGATGATGGTCCCTGTTTGTGTGCGTGAGTGTTGATGATGGTCCCTGTTTCAGGTGAGTGTTGATGATGAATTCCTAAGCCAGGGGTGAGTGTTGATGATGGTCCCTGTTTGTGGTAGAGTAAGGATGATGGTCCCTAAGCTTGTGTGAGTGTTGATGATGGTCCCTGTTTGTGTGAGTGCTGATGATGAAATTCTGTTTAAAGGTGAGTAAGGATGATGGTCCCTGCTTGTGGTGAGTAAGGATGATGGTCCTGCTTGTGGTGAGTGTTGATGATGGTCCCTGCTTGTAGAGTGTTGATGATGGTCCCTGCTGTGGTGAGTGCGATGATGGTTCCTGTTTGTGGTGAGTAAAGGGATGATGGGTCCCTGTCAGGTGGAGTTACGATATCCCTGCTTGTAGAAAGGATGATGGTCCCTTGCCAGGTGAGTGCTGATGATGGTCCCTAAGCTGTGGTGAGTGTTGATGATGGTCCCTGCTTGTAGAGTGTTGATGATGGTCCTGTTTGCGGTGAGTGTTGATGATGGTCCTGTTTGTAAAAGGATGATGGTCCTGTTTGTAGTGTGTTGATGATGTCCTGTTTGTGGTGTAAAAGGATGATGGTCCTGTTTGTGGTGAGTGTTGATGATATCCTGTTTGTAGAGTGCTGGGATGATGGTTCCTGTTTGTAGAGTGTTGATGATGGTCCCTAAGCTTGTAGAGTGCTGATGATGGTCCCTAAGTTTGTGGTGAGTGTTGATGTGATGGTCCCTGCTTGTAGAGTGTTGATGATGGTCCCTTGTTTGTGTGAGGCGATGATGGTCCCTGTTTGTAGAGTGTTGATGATGGTCCCTGCTTGTGGTGAGTTGATGATGGTCCCTACCAGGTGTAAAAGGATGATGGTCCCTGCTTGTGTGAGAGTGCTGATGATGGCCCTGCTTGTAGAAAGATGATGGTCCTTGCTTGTGGTGTAAAGGATGATGGTCCCTTGCTTGTAGAGGCACATGGTCCCTGTTTGTAGAGTGTTGATGATGGTCCCTGCTTGTGGTGAGTGTTGATGGTCCTGTTTGTAGGTGAGTGCTGATGATGGTCCCTGTTTGTGTGAGTAAGGATGATGGTCCCTGTTTGTGGTGAGGATGATGGTCCTGCTTGTGGTGAGTGTTGATGATGGCCTTGCTTGTAGAGTGTTGATGATTGTCCCTGCTTGTAGAGTGCTGGGATGATGGTCCCTGCTTCAGGTGAGTAAGTTAAGTTGATGGTTCCTGTTTGTAGAGTGTTGATGATGGTCCCTGCTTCAGGTGAGTGCTGATGATGGTCCTGTTTGTGGTGAGTGCTGATGATGTTCCTGCTTCAGGTGAGTGCGATGATGGTCTCAGGTGAGTGTTGATGATGGTCCTGCTTGTGTGAGTGTTGATGATGGTCCTGCTTGTGGTGTGAGTGTTGATGATGGTCCCTGTTTTGTGGTGGAAAAGGATGATGGTCCCTTGCTTCAGGTGAGTGTTGATGATGGTTCCTGCTTGTGTGAGTGTTGATGATGGTCCCTGCTTGTGGTGAGTAAGATGATGGGTCCCTGTTTGTGGTGAGTGTTGACATGGTCCCTAAGTTTGTGTGAGTTGATGATGGTCCCTGTTTGTAGAGTGTTGATGAAGTGGTCCCTGCTTGTGGTGAGTGTTGATGATGGTCCTGTTTGTGGTGTGTGCTGATGATGGTCCCTGCTCTTGTGGTGAGTGTGATGATGGTCCCTGTTTGTGGTGAGTGTTGATGATGGTTCCTGCTTGTGGTGAGTGCTGATGATGGTCCCTTGCCTGTGGTGAGTGCTGATGATGGTCCCTGCTTGTGTAGAGTGCTGATGATGGTCCCTGTTTGTGGTGTGTGTTGATGATGGTCCCTGTTTGTGGTGAGTGTTGATGATGGTCCTGCTTGTAGAGTGCTGATGATGGTCCCTGCTTGTGTGTGAGTGTTGATGATGGTCCCTGCTTGTGTGAGTGTTGATGATGGGTCCCTGCTTGTGTGAGTGTTGATGATGGTCCCTGCTTCTGTGGTGAGTGTTGATGATGGTTCCTGTTTGTGGTGAGTGTTGATGATGGTTCCTGTTTGTGGTGAGTGTTGATGATGGTCCCTGCTTGTAGAGTGCTGATGATGGTCCCTGTTTGTGGTGAGTGTTGATGATGGTCCTGTTTGTGGTGTGTGTGTTGATGATGGTCCCTGCTTGTGTGTGTGCTGATGAAGGGTCCCGTTTGTAGAGTGCGATGATGGTCCCTGCTTCTGTGATGGTCCTGCTTGTAGGAGTGCTGATGATGGTCCCTTGCTTGTGAGTGCTGATGATGGTCCCTTGCTTGTGGTGAGTGTTGATGATGGTCCCTGCTTGTGATGGTCCTTGCTTGTAGAGGTTGGATGATGGTCCCTGCTTCTGTGGTGTGTGTTGATGATGGTCCCTTGCTTGTGGTGAGTGTTGATGATGGTCCCTGTTTGTAGGAAAGGATGATGGTCCTGCTTGTAGAGTGTTGATGATGGTCCCTAAGCTTGTGGTGAGTGTTGATGATGGTTCCTGTTTCTGTGGTGAGTGTTGATGATGGTCCCTGCTTGTGGTGAGTGTTGATGATGGTCCCTGTTTGTAGAGTGCTGATGATGGTCCCTAAGCTTGTGGTGAGGTTGATGATGGTCCCTGTTTTGTGTGTTTTGATGATGGTCCCTAAGCTTGTGGTGAGTGTTATGATGGTCCCTGCTTGTAGAGTGCTGATGTGATGGTCCCTGCTTGTAGAGTGCTACGATGGTCCCTGCTTGTGGTGAGTGCTGAGTGATGGTCCTGCTTGTGGTGATTGCTGATGATGGTCCCTGCTTGTGGTGTGAGTGCTGAAGTGATGGTCCCTGCTTGTGGTGTGTGTGAGTGTTGATGATGGTCCCTAAGTTTGTGATGGTCCCTGCTTCTGTGGTGAGTGTTGATGATGTCCCTGCTTGTGGTGTGTGTTGATGATGGTCCTGTTTGTGGTGAGAGTGTTGATGATGGTCCCTTGCTTCAGGTGAGTGCTGGGATGATATCCCTGTTTGTGTGAGTGCTGATGATGGTCCTGCTTGTGGTGAGTGACATGGGTCCCTGTTTGTGGCAGTTATTTACGGTCCCTGTTTGTGGTGTGCTTTATTGATGGTCCCTGTTTGTAGAGTGCTGATGATGGTCCCTGTTTGTGGTGAGTGTTGATGATGGTCCCTGTTTGTGGTGAGTGCTGATGATGGTCCCTGTTTGGGTGAGTGCTGGAGGATGGTCCTGCTTGCAGATTGTTGATGATGGTCCTTGCTTGTGGTGAGTAAGCGATGATGGTCCCTGCTTGTGAGGCATGATGGTCCTGCTTGTGATGGTCCTGCTTGTGGTGAGTGTTGATAGATGGTCCCTGTTTGTGGTGTGTGTTGATGATGGTCCTGTTTGTGGTGAGTGCTGATGATGCAGTCCTGTTTTAGAGTGACATTTATCCCTGTTTGTGGTGTGTGCTGATGATGGTCCCTGTTTCTGTGGTGAGTGTTGATGATGGTCCCTGTTTGTGTGAGTGATGATGGTCCCTGCTTGTAGAGTGTTGATGATGGTCCCTGTTTGTGGTGAAAGTTTGATGATGGTCCCTGCTTGTGGTGGAAAAGATGATGGTCCCTGTTTGTGGTGAGTAAGGATGATGGTCCCTGCTTGTAGTATGATGATGGTCCCTGCTTGTGGTGTGTTGATGATGGTTCCTGTTTGTGTGAAAGGATGATGGTTCCTGCTTGTAGAGTGTTGATGATGGTCCTGCTTGTAGAGTGCTGATGATGGTTCCTACTTGTAGAGGTTGATGATATCCCTGTTTGTAGAGTGTTGAATGATGGTCCCTGTTTGGGTGAGGTTGATGATGATCCCTGTTTGTGTGTGTGTTGATGATGGTCCTGCTTGTGGTGAGTGTTGATGATGGTCCCTGCTTGTGGTGTGTGAGTGTTGATGATGGTCCCTGTTTGTGGTGAGTGTTGATGATGGTCCCTTGCTTGTGTGTGAGTGTTGATGATGGTCCCTGTTTGTGGTGAGTGTTGGACATGGTTCCTGTTTGTGGTGAGTGTTGATGATGGTCCCTGTTTGTGGTGAGTGTTGATGATGGTCCCTGTTTGTGGAGTGATGTTGATGATGGTCCCTCAAGTTTGTGGTGAGTGCTGATGATGGTCCTGCTTGTGTGTGTGAGTGTTGATGATGGTCCCTGCTTGTGTGTGTGAGTGCTGATGATGGTCCCTGCTTGTAGAGTGTTGGGATGATGGTCCCTGTTTGTGTGAGTGTTGATGATGGTCCCTGCTTGTGGTGTGTGTTGATGATGGTCTTGCTTGTGGTGAGTGTTGATGATGCTCCCTGTTTGTGGTGTGTGAGTGTTGGATGATGGTTCCTAAGCTTGTGGTGTGTGTTGATGATGGTCCCTGTTTGTAGTGAGTGTTGATGATGGTCCCTGCTTGTGTGTGTGAGTGTTGGATGATGGCCTCCTTGCTAGGTGTGAGTGTTGATGATGGTCCCTGTTTGTGGTGTGTGTGAGTGCTGATGATGGTCCCTGTTTTTGGTGAGTGTTGAGATGGTCCCTGTTTGT